TTAGGGCTTAGGGATTTGGGTTCAGGGGGGCTTATGAAAGAGAAGACGGAGATCGGAACAATTAGTAAGTATCCGAATTAGTATCTGCAATAGTATACCTTTATCATAATCCGCATATAACGGTGGTATAATGCCTTGTTCTAATTGGTAAGGACACGAAAGCCAAATAAAGCTCTTAAAGAGTGCTATAAAAAAGCACATGGCCGCCGTAAAAAGCACCGTATACCCTAAGCCCCTAAACCCTAAAATATGAAGCTACAACACTTTTGGCCAAACCCTAAGTTGTTCGAGGAGTGGCTCTCGCGGATGCTCTTCGCCGGAGTTCGTCCTGGAGGTCGGGCTTCGGAGATATTCCAGGTTCGGGGTTTAGGGTTTCAGGGGGTTGGGGGTTTAAGGGGTTTCGGGGTTTAGGGGTTTAGGGTTTAGGGTTTAGGAGGCAGTTAGGGGTTTGAGGGTCTAGGTTTCTAGGGTTTGGGGTTTAGGGTTTAGGGTGTTGGGGCGTTCAAGGGTCTAGGTTTATAGGGTTTGGGGTTTAGGGGTTTGAGGGTCTAGGTTTAGGGTTTGAGGTTTAGGGTTTAGGGTTGGGGCGTTTGAGGGTCTAGGTTCAGGGTTTGGGGAGGTGTTCATCCACATCCTGGCCGACACCCGGAAACTCCTCACACGCCCAAGTCCCAAACACCAGGAGTTTTTGCGCTGAAGCACCAATATCCAAGCCCTTTTAGTATTAAATGGGCATTGATTCCATCCTAGAGGCCCATACAAGCGCTCTGTCTCTCTCTCTCTCTCTCTCTCTCTCTCTCTCTCGCTCCCTTCTCTCTCTTTACTTCTCGAGAGCCTTTCAAAAAGCCCTAGGAACTACCCTCCCATATCAACGCTCAAGAAGGATGTCCCAAAACTGAACCCTCAGAACCCTTGCTCAGAACCCTTGCAGGATTATAGATCATGCAGCATTTACCTGATTATATTGATCATTTAAACCCAAAAGATCAAAGACAAGAAGTAATACAATATTTAAGAAAAGCCATGTACTGGTGCTGAAAAGGTCACGCCTTCAATCCAGTGGTTTGTGCGTGGGCGGGAGCCGGATCACCGAGGAGGGTTTAGGGTTTTCTTGTTTTGGTTTGGGATTTAGAAGTTTAGGGTTTTAGGGGTTTAGGGTTTAGGGTTTAGGGTTTAGGGTTTAGAGTGTAGGGTTTACCTAGAGGTTACGTAAAGATTTAAAGATCTGACTCCTTCCGAACCATGTTTCATTGTTGTTTCAATATAAGCCCACGGGGTTCATTGGCAAGAGTCTTGTTTTGTCATGGGGCTTATAGCGAGGAGTCCTGAGGAAATGCTAGTGGTTGAGTTTAAGGTTCCGGCTGGTAGATTTTAGTGCCCACGTTCGGCTCAGCCTGCAAAACTCGTTTTTGGAGGGTAGACTCAGGCGCGAGGCCTTGTCCTCAACACCCAAATAGCCCTAAACCGTAGAACCCTCGCAAACAAAAATAGAATCCATGATAGCAAACCTGCGTGCAGAACTTGGATAACATCACAGGATGCCCTAGATCCCAAACCCTAGACCCTGGCCCTAGCCTTTAACCTCAAACCTCAAACCCTACAAACCCCCGTCTGGCCTGCCCTCAACCCTGACCCTGAAGCCCAAAACCCGTAAACACTCCCTAGAAAAACCCCTACAAGACCGTATTCCAACTACCATAGGAGTTTGAAGAAGTACCAATACTGTCTTGGGGGCTCCTGACTATACCCATAGGGCCCTAAGTAGTTCCTCTTTGGGACTACCTTATAGGATTCTAAATATGAACCATAAAAAGGAACTACTTAGGGGCCTATGGGTAGTTATAGTACACTCCTCCCCATCCGCGGTTCGATGCGGAGTGATGTTTTTGGTCCCAACCCCTATCACTGTTGCGCCCTTGCAAGGAGGGCGGAAGCCTGGCTTTGGAAAGCCATGGAGGGGGGCCCTTCGGAAGCTTTACAGGGGTTTTCCGGTTTCGGGTTTAGGGTTTTAGGTTTAGGGTTTAGGTTTTGGGTTTCGGGTTTAGGGTTTTCGGTTTCGGGTTAAGGGTCAAGGCTTTTGGGTTTTGGGTTCTCGGTTTCGGGTTTAGGGTTTAGGGATTAGGGTTTTGGGTTTCGGGTTTAGGGTACAGGCTTTGGGAACTTGAAAGTTTTTGGGCCTTAGAGGGCTCTTGGGTGGGCCGTTGGTTTGGCTCTAGGGGCCCCGGTGTTGGGTGTGGGCTTAGGGCGTTTTGTAAACTTGAAGCTTTTTTGGCTTCGGGTTTTTAGGTTTCCGGTTTCAATTCTCAAGGGTGGAGTTCGACTGGTTCAGGGTAGGTATGTATACATGCATGCATACATACATACATACATACATACATACATACATACATACATACATACATATATATATATATATGTATATAATTATGTGTACATATATATATATATCTATACAGATATATATATATATACATATATATATATATGTTTTTGCTGTCACGGGGGGTTTAGGATGTAGACAGGGTTTCAGTGCCGAAAGCCATACTAAAATCCCTGGCAGGAGTCGGAGAAGTCTGTGCGGAGACCACCCAGAGAAATGTGAGGGGAAGACTCGGGTTGGTCCGGCCCATCTACCCAAAGGTTCATTGAGCCTTCGTTAGCGGTTTGGGATCTTGGCAGGGGCTGAAGTCTGAATTGAGCCCCAGAGCCGCACGCCCTAAGCCGTAAACCCCCACGCCCTCAACCCCGGCATAGAAGAGGTTGGGGACAGCTGAGGCCTGAAGCCAAGCAAGGCGGCACTAGAGAAGACTCTTGCGGCCTATGTTTCTTGGCACAGGATGGACATTTTTTAAGAGTTAAGAAGCGCTGTACCCTAAAGGCCCTAAACCCTAAACACCTAGACGCTAAACACTAAATCCTTAAACCGTAAACCCTGAACCCTAATTCGTATCAGTTTCATCCTAGAGGCTCTTTAGGGTGGTTATCACTCCGCCCCCCCTTTTCTCATCCTTACCCATATCCGTGAATGTTCGTTTCCTGCACTAGACATAACCTAACCAGTAAACTCGGAACTTAAGCCTTAATCCTTAAGCCTAAACCCAAAACCTCTTAGTGGGGCTTTTGGCAACACATTTTAGTTGCATCCTTTTTTGGGTAGCCCCTTGTAGTAACCCTTGTTACAAGCCTTGCATAGCAACCCGTTGAGGGAGCCTAAACCCTAAACCCTCAACCCAAAAAACCTCCGACAAACCTCCAATAAGCAGGCGTCAGCAGACGGTGAGGGCCTCGATCGCATGAAGCGGCTGATGACCTCCCTTGGATCCTGGCCAAAGGCTTGGGCAACGGCCATCATCTCCAAGCCGCCCTTGGGACGTAGCGGTTCAGGGGTCGAGGGTTTAGGGCTTAGGGGCTTGTAGGGTTTAGGGTTTAGGGGCGTCTTGAGGGTGTACTTGGAGGCCCAAGCGACTTAGCCAGTCGGTTATCAGTAGGGTTATTCTTGGGGTAATTCCATTTTAATATAGGGGCCTCAGTAATTACCAATACTGTGTTGGAGGCTCCTTATTATAATTATAGTATAAAGGAGCCCCGAACCCTATTCAAGTTATTAAGCATCATATACCATTCATCCCTGACTGCAGCATTCATCCCTGACTGCAGGCCTCCCATTCAATGCTGCATCTTTAGGTCTATAAATCTATAAGCCCTAGCCCTAAGCCGGAAGCCCCTGAACCACGCATGATCCCCCGATAAGACCTTCATAGAAAACCCAAGAGAACCCTCTGATCCCCCTTTTGAACCCCTCGCTCTGCCCTGAACCCCTAGGTTATAGGGTTTAGGGTTTTAGGGATATAGGGTTTTAGGGTTATGTGGTTTTGGGGTTTAGGGCTTTAGGGTTCTAAACCCGAGCAAGCCCAGGTATGCCGCTGCCGGGGATTTCGGATCCGTGGAGCAGATGCTGGAAGAGCTCCAGGCTGCTGGTGAGGCTCCGGATGCTTCCTGTTTCAAGGCACCGGGTGGGGAGAGGGTTTACTTACTAAAATCTAAACCCTAAACCCTGAATTACTAAACCCTAAACCCTAAACCCTAAATTACTAAACCCGAACCCTAAACCCTAAATTACTAAACCCTAAACCCTAAACCCGGGAAGTTTGGGGAAGTTTAGGGTTTACGGCCTCGGAGCTTCCTGGGACTTAAAAAGAGATCGTGCATCCTGCTTCGAGATGGGAGGGGGTGGGGTTTAGGGTGCAGGCTTCAGCGCTAAACATTAAACCTTAAACCCTAAACCCTAAACATTAAACCCTAAACCCTAAATTACTAAACCCTAAACCCTAAACCCTGAACATTAAACCCTAAACCCTAAACATGAAGGTTTATGGGTTAGGCCAGGCTTCGGGGTTTCAAAAGAGAGAGATTTGGTTCGGGCTCAGGGCTCTTCTGGGGCTCCTCTCTCGGGCTCTCTTCTCTTCTTTAGAAGGGCATCAGGGTTCATATATGGGGTATTAAGGGTTTAGGGCTTAGGGTTTAAGTGTTATAGGGTTTAGGGTTTAGGGGTTTAGGGTCTAGGGTTTAGGGTCAGGTATATAGGGTTTATGTATTTTAGGAGGTTGTTGTAAGGCAGGTTAGGGTCTCCCACCTCACCCAGGCCACCCGAATTCTAAACCCTTGACCTTACGAGCCCTGTCCTTTTCCCCTGCACCAACAACACACTAAGCCCTGTAGACCCCAAACCCCAAATTTCTGCACCCCCAAAACTCTCTCTTTCCAGGTGCTCCTTATGGCCTATGCACGTGGACCGCGCACCCTGGATGCTCGCGTGGAAGTTTGTTTGGAGCGGCTTTGGGCTCTGAAGACCCTCTGGACGAAGCAGGAAGCTTGGTATGCCTTCGAGGTTGGGGTTCTATAAGAGTGGTAAAAAGGGTTGCTATCAGGATTATCCATAATATCCAACCCGGAACCCGGGACCCGGAACCAGTGCAAGAAAAACGATATCCCCGGATTATCAAACGTAGAGATGCTATAAGGTTTACAAGAAGGGTTGCCACAAAGGTCACTAGGAGGGTTGCTAGAAGGATACAGGTTTTTACATGTCAAGAACTGGGTTCTGTAGTGGGTGTAGCAGATACAGGAATCCTGACCTCCTACGGGCCCCTGATTAAATCATCAACTCCCACTCTTTACGGGACTGAAGATTAGGATCCCTTCTACGGATTTCTATGGTTGTGGGGTTTAATTACCGCTGGTCTGCATGATTATTTTGAGGCTAGCATGTTTAACCTGCAGATCCTGCATGTCCGAAGTCTCTTCGTAGGAGCCTCAATTGTGGCATGTCAGGATGTAGGGCACCTGGAGATCTTCGGATTTCGGTTCGTCTCGCCCTCAATGCCTAAGGCCCAACCCATCAGGGTTTACGGTTCTAAGATCCGGAGCATAGGGGGCCGAAGAATCATCAGGCAAGCAGAGCGATTGTTTTTGCTCCAGACTATCGCGGAGGAATGGCTCGTGTTCCACCATCGAGGGAAGGATGTACACATGAACAGAACCATTCAAAGTGTGGGGTATAAGAGCCACTATGCTAAACCCTAAACCCTAGTATAAGAGCCACTATGCCCCACAAGGGAAGCGACCCCGGAAAAGTCTTATCATTTGTCAGATCCTTTAGGTTTTGGGTTTTGGAGTTAGCGTTTAGGGTTTAGGGTTTCTGGTCCCTTATAAACCCTAAACCCCCAGCACTCAACACGAAGCCCCTAAATTCACATATTCCTTGATCATCAAAGACTCTGATTGGACGCTTTTGTGGGCACCGTTGTACATAATATAACCCAAGGGTCGTAAACTTAAATCTAAACCCTAAACCCTAAACCCCAAACCCCAAACCCTACACCCTAAACCCTAAACCCCTTAACTCTACAGCCTTGAACGATTAACCCCCGAAACAAGACAACCCTCAGGAAGAGGCGGAGGTTCTCGGGGATGCCCGTCGCGCGCTGGGCAAAGAGAGACTTCGCAGCGCTTTACGAAGGTGAGGCTAGCAGGGTTTAGAGCCTAAACCCTGAACCCTAAACCCTAAACCAGAAACCCTAAACCCTAAACCCTAAGCCCTAAACTTCAAACCCTGAACCCTAAACCCTAAACCCGAAACCCGTAACCCCAAACCCCAAACCCTTAACCCTGAACCCTAAACCCCAAACCCTAAACCCTAAACCCTAGAGCCTCAATGAGTCTCCCTTTCACGGTTTCCCGAAGACTTCCCTCAGAGGCTCCTGGAAGCGTACTAGAGGGGTTCGGATGCGACTATACCGGTTTAGGGTTTAGGGTTTAGGGTTTAGGGTATACCTAGACCCTCCATCTGCCCTCTATTAGACCCTAAATACCCGAAATTTGGGACCATATACCCCTATTTGAGGGTACTTGGAGGGTCCTGGTAAGGGTTTGTATGAGTGGACCTATATTATGGGCTGTCGAGGAAGAGGGATGTAGGATTTAGGTCGTTAGGGTTTGGGAATTCCGGCTTTGGATCTTGGCAAATTTCAGGGTTTAGGAGGGGCTTCGGATTTAGTGTTCAGGGCTTCGGGTTCGGAGGGTTCGGGTTTAGGGTTTGGGATTGAGGGCTCAGGATAGGTTGGGGTTTCCAAGGATTTGGGGTTTAAGTTTAGTGTCTCGGGCAAGTAAGGTTTAGGAGGTAGTCCCTTATTTAGGTATGGGTCCGATATAGGGTTCAGGGTTTAGGTTTTAGGTGTCTCCCCAGGGCGCCAAATAGCGAAGTAGTGTAGGGTTCCTTCCAGGTCCCCAACGGGTTTTGGTACTTTTGGCCAGTGGCACTCCCAGGCTCTTTTCGAAGCTGGATAAGAATTACAAGGTTGTTTTGGAATCCTGAAGCCCTACCCCCTAAGCCCTGAAACCTTAAACCCTGAAGCCCTCAACCTCTTAAGCCCCTAAACCTCTAAATCCGGTGCCCCGGTAAACCGTGAACCCAGGAGATATGATCAATTGGCACGGAAGCTGGGATTGCGAACTCCTCCGCGGATCACAGGCGAAAGGCACTCGCGAGCTCGAGTTGTGGGAACCTCCGTCGTCAAAGTAGTGGTTCAGGGTTTAAGGTTAAGGGTTCATGGCCTTTTTGATGTTTTGGGTCCTTTGTCTTGTAGGGTCTCTGGCGGGGTCGAGGGTCTAGCGTTTCGGTAGCTAGATTTTAATTTTTAGGGTTCTTTAGGATTTGCAGTTTCATTGTTTAAGACTCAGGTGGTCTGGGCTTTTGGGGTTTTAGGATTTACTGCAGAGTGTGGGAGTTTGCAGGCTTTAGCCTCTTATGGACTTGTACACTCTATGAACCCCGTGAACCTTTTGGATCCCACATTAATAACCCCTTTTGTTTAATTTGATGTGTGAACTAAGGAACTTGGCATGAAATTCACCCAGCGGAGTGACGCAAAGCCGAAGTGTGGGTTGGCGTCGGTTTTGCTGGCCGAAGGACGGGTTTACGGTTGAGGGTACCCATAGGCCCCTAAGTAGTTCCCTTTTTATGGTTTATATTTGGAATCTAGAATCCTGTAGGGTAATCCCACAAAGGAACTACTTTGGAGCCTTTGGGTACATGGCATGCCAACGTGGTACTACAGCGATGAGACGGCCCGGCTTCATGCATCCTCACCATCTTCTGACCGAAGAGATCTATGTCTCCACTGTCCACACCATCTCCACTGCTGCTCCGCTACGAAATCGTCGTGCACAAGGCAAAAACTTTTTGTTGAGGGGGGGGGGCCTATAATACCTGAAAGATAGGGCTATGATTTCGCGGTTCTGGCTTCTGAAGGTCGGTGGTGCTGTGAGTAGTTCTCTACATTAGGGCCCCGCTGTAGATCCCAAATATAATGCTGCAACCTTATAAAAAGGACCTCACGAAGGACCCTAGTTAGAGGCTTACCGGAATTTGCTATGCCCTAACACCGGGGAGCCTCTGTTTTGGGGCGTAGTTAGTGGGGTCTAGGATTCGTCTTTCGATGCCACGGAGGACAACGACATGTGCCAAGCTCAGCCCTACTCCCAGGAACTCTAAACCCCAAACCCCAAACCCTAAACCCTAAGCCCTACGCCCCTACACTCCTTGCAGTCTTTCGAGTTCCACACCGCCCCAGGACAGGCTTTGGGTTCGTTCAGGATCCGCGTGTACGAGGGCTTGTTCGTATGTCCGCTTTCCACAACAGGACGCTGCGCGACTGCGCGATTCACATTGTGACATCTTCATGGCGCCCATGGGCTGTGGATGCATCCTGGGACGTGCGCTGTTCTCTTCTAGATTCTAGCTCTGGGTGTTTGGGGCCCCTGGTAAGGGTGCTACAAAGGATCCTATGCTAGTTCATAAGGGGTCTTCCTATCATGGTTCTACAAGGGATCTATAGGATATGAGGGTTTAATGTTTAGTTTTTGGGGGGTTCAGGGTTTTTTTGCATGCAGATCCCCCTTGTCGTTTCGAAGTGCAGATCGGTGACTTCGGCGGGTCCGTGCATTTTTGAAGAAAAGGAGGGGCAATTTCCATGTTCTGAACATGGTTTAGAGGGGGCAAGAAACCCCAAACCCCTTTCGCCCTAAAGCCTAAGCCCTAAACTCTAAATCTGAAACCCTTTGAGAAAACCCCGGAGCCCTGCACCCGAAGCCCCGCCACGTGCAACCCGAGAACAGCGAGCCTTGCGAAGCCTTGTACGCATGAAGTAGACTACAGGGTTTTTTACGGTTCAGGGTTTTCGGACTTCGCAGTTCGTCAGGTCGTGGTTGCTTTTGCACTTGGAGGAAGGGGCGGGCAGAAGTGTATGCATACAAAGACTTTGGGAAATCCTGCGCGCAAGTCGCGACTCCCGTGTTGGGAGTTTGCTTTAGGGCTTACCTAAAGGCCCAACACCTATGCAGGGCTGTAATTGTTCTTATGCCCGCAGCCCTGAACCTTCGAGTTTGAGCCCTAATTTCTTCATCTGGGTAGCTCTCTAAATCAGGGTCCCTTGTTAGGTCCCCGAAATAGTACGGCACCATGATACAAGAAAAGGAACCAACAGGGACCCGCCTCTTTTGGAGAACTACACATATACCCTAAACGCTAAACCCTAAACCCTAAACCCTCTTGTAGAGAATATACCCTAAACGCTAAGCCCTAAAAGCAAAACCCTCTTTTAGAGAACTACCCATATACCCTAGACGCTAAACCCTAAACCCTCTTTTAGAGAACTACTCATATACCAGAGCTATGGCAGCAAATTTCACCTGCAAAAGCCCTAAACCCTAACACATCTTTATTCGCTGGTCCTTTCGTCGGCTCAGGCCTCAAGTGGCACCCCGTTTGCTGCCTTCTTTGGGGCTTTGGGGGCTAGCGGGTGGGGGAACAAAGTACACTTCAAACGTTTAGGGTTTTTGGGTTTAAGGCTTTGGGTTTAAGGGTTAGGGTTTAGGGTTTACTTACCCTGGAGGGAGGTAGGGTTAAAGGTTTAGGTTTGAGGGTTTGAGGGTGTTTATGGTCTAGGGTCCCTAAACCCGACACCCCAAACAACCCTTATGATACCACGTCTAGCAAGCCTTCCATAGCCCGTTAAAACGAGCCCTCTTCTACTTAAGGCCCTTCGACTCAACCCTTAAACTAACCCTAACAGCCTTCTGGTATACCTTCTAGAACCCGTTTAAAGCAAAACCCTCACCCTGAACCCTAAACCCTATAAGCCCTAAGCCCTCAAACCCTAAACCGTAAACCCTATAACCCCTATAAGCCCTATAAGCCCTAAAAGCCCTAAACCCCAAGGCCTGAACCTCCCTGACTGGGGCTCCATCCTCTGATGCCATGGGAAACGGTCCGTCCGCGGAGCTTCAATTGTGTACCTGAGCGTCGATCGAGGTTTTTTGGTTTTCAGGGTTGAGGGTTTTAGGGTTTAGGGCTTTTAGGGGTTTTGGGGTTTTAGCGGTTTTAGGGTTTAGGGTATTTGGTGGGTTTAGGGGTTTTAGGGGCTTAGGGGCTTCAGGGTTCTGTAAAGTAATTGGTGCTAGAGGGTTTTCATGGTTTTTAAGGGTTTCAGGGTTTTGGGTTTTTTACGGCTTCTAGGCTTATTTGGGGTTTCCGGGGTTTGGGATTTGTGGTGTTCTGGAATTCAGGGCCGAGATTGGGGTTTAGGGTTGTAGGCCTTAGGGGTTTGGCCCTTACAGTTAAGCGTAAGGCGCCGTAACCAGGGTTGTGTAGGCTGTTGGCATGGCTCCTCTACACTTTTGATCCACCACAAGAGTGCTATATGATGTATGTTATTAAATAAACCCTAAACCCTAATCCCTAAAGAACCCCTTGTAGAACCCTTATAGAACCCTGCTAGTAACCCTTACAGCAACCCTACACCACCGTATGAATCTGATTACCAAGTTTCTGAACCCTTGCGGGGGGTCTCTCGTCGTACCTCGGTTGGGCCATTTTGTGTGTGAGGCTTAAGTCCTAAACCCTCGACTCTAACTAAACCTTCGACCCCTAACCCTGAGCCCTGGACTCCCCAGACCCTAAACCCTACACCCTATTCTAGAACGGCCCAGGCACCTGCTTTGGTAGCCGAACAAGAGCGTCGACGACGGCAGCTCAGGCGATTGTGGCAGCGTTGTTTTGTTCTTATTCCTATTCTTAGGGTTGGAGGGTCATGGAGGGATTCAGGGGTTAGGGGCTATCCGGTTTGGGTTTATCGGGGTTTAAAGTTGATGGTTGAGGGCTTTGGGGTTTAGGATTTAGGGTTTAGGGTTTAGCCTGCCACGGCTTCTATGTCTAAAGGTCAGCCGGAGCCTCGAACAGCGGCTTTTGTGTTTAGGCTTGAAAGCTTCAAGACATTGCAGGTAGCGAGTAGGACGCGGAGTTGCAAAACCTACATAAGCACTAACCCACAAAACCTACACCCAGGTTTCGGGCGGCTTTTAGACAATTACCTCGGATGGTAGCGTGCAGCAATGAAGAGCAACACCCCCCCCCCCCAGCAGTTTCAGAATAAGTGCATAGGGGGCCAGCAAGTAGAAGCCTTTGCAAGGAAACCCACAGCTTCAAAAGCACCAAAATCCATCCAGCTTCAAACCGAAAACGTGTTACGGTCCATGTGGAGGGGATAGTAGGGCAGGACCTATTTCAGGACACCGGGTTCAATGGTTTAGGGTTTAGGGGTTTAGGGTTTAGGGTTTCTGGGGGTTAGGGTTTAGGTCGTTACCAGTTACTGAGGAGGAGGGTTCCTGTTCAATTGCTCGTGCTTTTGACAGTAGCTCGAGCCATTATGCCCAGATCCGAAAGCAACAGTGAACCCGAAACCGGGCTAGAATCTTTGTAGCTCAGGCTAAACCCTAAACCCTAAACCCTAAACCCAGGGCTTGCACATGTGCGGCTTTGGGTCTAGAGAGGCCAAATTCGCCAAAATGTACCGAAAAGGACGTTCCTTCAAAAGGGGCATCCGGCTCTCTGGGTAAGGGGAATGGGTTGTTGAGGGTTTGAAAACGGTTGCGGGGCGCAAGAAACAGAAGTTGTGTCGGGATTTTGAAAAGCGCGAGAATTACTTGTGAATGATAGCTCAGGCTTCTGCGTGATCCCCAGGCCCAAGCCATTCGCGGAATGCCCAACATTTGGACAGGCAATTGCTCTCCATCGGCATTGCAGCCACGAGCCCAGCACTTCACCTTGGGCTTAAGGTTCTTGCCCTACCCTCGCAAACCTCTATCTATACGATAAGAGTAGGAATACTCAGTACTATTATTCTCTTACAGTTTGTATATCTTTAGTCACAGCACAGGATGTCCCAAAGCCCTCTTCCGGTTCAATATTTTAAGGCCCGCATGTGGCGGGTGGTTCAAGGTTTCGGAAAGGTTTCATGAGGCCGAAGATGTCTGCGGTGAAACCTACATTCCAAACCTCTTCAGGGTGAAGGGTTAAAGTGGATTCGGGTTTAGGGGTTAGGGTTTACATAGGGCATAAAGTGGATTTGGGGCTCAGGGTTTGGGTTTCAATTCCTAGACCCTGAAGCTTTCAAGATACCAAGCCATGCACACCAAAAATTTAGGGTTTAGTGTTTTAGGGTTCTAGGGTTTAGGGTTTAGGCACTTCGAAATTATTTAGTCTTCAGCTTCAACAGGGCTTCGCAGGGCTAGAAAGCTCCAATGTCGATTCGTTCAAGGGTTCCCTCAAGGGTTCCTTTCAAGGCACCCATTAAAGGTTTCTGTTCGGGTCCCTTCAACGGTTCCTTTAAAGGGTTCCTTACAGAGGTCCTGGGGAGCATCATCTCGCGCAGTGTTCGAAGGCTAGGGCTGGATGTTAGAACCCATACGCCATACTTTCTAGGAAGTAGGCCTTTACGGGTCTACAATCAAGGGTTGCGGGGGTTTCTTCTTGGCGTCCTGGAAGCCAGAAAAGTTATCACCAAACTCTTAACCAAAACCCTATGTAGAAGCAGGCTCGAAAATCACTTAGTGGATGCAGGCGCGGAAAGAGCTGTTCAAAGCCATCTAGTGCTTCACTTCGATGTGAACAAAACCATCGTGATGCTGGCGCCTGCCTGAGATGGGTCCAGGGGTTACCAGACTTAGGGGTGGGATTACGGATGTAGAGGACATCTCTTGGCAGATTCGGAGCGAAGGTCCGAAGGCTTTGACGTGGGTATGTTACAGCGAAGTATTTGGCTGCTGGGCTTTAGCACTGTGGGCTAAGGACGCAACCCTGAACCCTAAACCCCAAACCCTAAACTCTAAGCCCTCAACCCTAAACCCTAAACCTCACATTTGCGTCGAGTTTGGCATGGACCCGAGTTGTATTCACCCTCAGACGTAGGATCTTACAAGGGTCGCCCCCTGAGCAGTTTGGGGAGGAATGCGATTTTCAGAGCCCGGGGCTGCATGTGGTCGGACATGAATCCTAATTCCTTCGCACAGAAGCCTACAATCTGCCGAGGCTTGGGTTTTTCGAGGTTTGGGGCTAGGGGTTTCGATTGGTGAATGTCCCTCAGGATACCATTCAGAACATTCCGCCTGGAGACGTGCTGAATGGCAGCTTCTTTGCAAGTGGGCTGATGTTTCTGTGTTTTCTGTAGAGTTTAGGTGTACCTGAACCCCCAAATAACCTAACTTTTCCCGAAAAATACACTTAAGTCAGCCCCAAGACTGCAACTTGCTAAGGGTTCAATAGGGTTTCGGAGAATGGAGGATCTCTGAAAGATACTCTTCTGATCGTTTAGAAAAGTACCCGAGACGGGGCCTTGAGCCTTCCAACGAACCCTATATAGACGCCAAGCCCTACACCGCTTGAGACCCTAGTAGGGTTTAGGGTTTAGGGAGCCAGTGGACTATGTTCAGCACTTCTTTGCACCCTAAGGCGTAAGCCGCTGGGATTTATTCCCGCGCCGAGAGCCTCCTTCTCTTACCAGTGCTTAAGCCACCTCCTTCAAAGATTAGGAGAGGTAGTAGGTCTCTGATAGTTGGGGCGCACGGCTACAGGTGCCGGATTACCGTAAATTTTGCCTTGCTCATGGTACCCCAGGGGGCCAAGCTGCCCGGGTCAGAGCCTCAATTCCCAAACCGAAGCTTTCTTACAGGATTATAGGTTGGGCTTTGCTATAGACGCATAATTAGGATGGTTCTGCCCCACTCATTCGCAGGTGGACAGTGCCTTTAGTCGCATAGATGTATCAGAGGGCTCAGGATTGCCTACCAGCAGGCAGCGGTAGGAACACCAGAGCCCCAGCACCAGGAGGTGCGTTGGGGTTTTTTGCTAGAGCGGCTCGGAACGGCTCCGCGCTACAGCTCCCCCTCGTGGCACCGCCGTTTGAGGGCGGTTCGGTCCCAGGCTCGGTCTCGTCTTCGCCGAGGAGTTCGGATCACTGAAAAGCAGCGCCGAGCTTTAGCGCTGCATCACGCCACCAGTTTTCGACAGAAGCTGCTTTTGGCTGCCAGACCTGGCATGGGACGTGGCGGCAAGTACAAGCAATGGGGAAAGGAGACTCAGCATGGTGCAGGTGCGCAACAGCTTTGGCGTGGCTCTTGGTCTCCGGGATTGCGTGCGGACCCATCAGCCCGCCCTTGGCGCGAGAACAGCAACAAGGAGGCCGCTCCTGCGCCTTCCTTCCCTGCGTACGATTCTATGCCCTCAGCTGCCCCGGGCAACCTGGAGGTGGTGGCACAGCAAGGTCGTTCGCATGGTCTGCAAGGGCTTCTGAATGCGGCGCGGAAAGCAGAGCTTCGCTTGCAGAAACTTCTACGAGCCAAAGATCGTGCAGCCGAGCAGTGGGAGACCTTCCAGAGAGGTCTGAAGGACTCTTTTATCAAAGAGCAGACACGTTTCAACAAAAACGGAGCCAGACTAGACCGCGAAATCGCGGAAGCGACTGTGGAGCAGGACAAGGCCTACGAGGATATCCAACAGTCAGTACTACGCGGCGGCGAGCCTCCCGATGCTCCTATGGCAGCAGCAGAGGCAGAAGCATCCTGGGATCGTATGAGGAATGGCTGGGAGAACGAAGATGCGGATGCCATGAGTCACGTACTTCGTCGTGCAGTAGAGGCACCGCGAACAGCAGCTTCCAATGCCATGAGGCAGTTGACCCCGGCGATGCAGGAGCTCTTGGTTTCCTTTGGGGCGATCCCAGCCTGGGCTGCGTCAGCTCGGGCTGGAGGCGATTTGCGGGCTCCGCTTGCCCCTCAGGTTCCTGCTGCCCCAAAAACCTCACACCCGGACGGATCAGGCTTGCCTTCTACTTCAGCTGCCCCCTCGGAGACACGGCAAGCCACCCCTCATCAAGGGAAAGCGGACATGCAGATTTCGCCGGCGCACCCAGGGCAGCGCGACATGGCCGCGGCACGGGTTCCCACTGCTGTGGAAGCCCCACGACCAGGCATCAAGGCGGCGACTATGGCTCCTACCGCTGCGGGAACCCCACACTCGCTTTTGGCAGACAAGCTGGATGCGAAAAGAGCCAATGCCAAGCCCCATGCTATGCAGCCTTTCCGTGGCGGTGGGGCTCCTCTGCCTGGCAATGTCGATGGCTCCGCAGTGCCCGTGGAGGATCCGTCGGACCAGGAAATGAACGAGGCCGACGTCAAAGATGGCCCTCAATCTCCCGGGTTGGGCCGTATGGGATGAGACAGAGTGAGGCGCGCTGTCCTCAAGGCTGTGGCGAGCATGCAGGTCCCCTATGCAGCCTGGGCATCCTGAGGGCTACACGGCAGATGTGTTTTCCGTTTCAGCCTTCGCTTGCCCTGTCGCTGCCTGGGGAAGTACCTTCGCTCTGCCTGGGCCTTGATCTCAGTGGTGTCTTTTCGACTGAGCGGCAGGTAGCACTCTTAGGGATGTCAAGGGACTTTGTAAAGACTTTTCCGGCTCCCTTAAGTGATGTGCATTTTGTGTGCCTGCGCTACTTCGTTTCCTCATCCATGCCTCGCTGCTCTGGCCAGGATTGTGAGTACTGGGTTCGTACTGCCTTTTCTGGTCAGGGCCTTTCTTCCTCCGCTCTTCGTCCTGCTCACCGTTTGGGTGATGTTTGGATGAGGGCCCCGCTAAGGGTCAGATATTGGCCTTCTCAGCCCTCGCTTACACTGCCCCCTGTTGGATTTCGCGGGCGGCTCACTTTTATGTTCTGGCTCCAGACGTTCGGAGCAGTGATGCTTGGCTTGTTTTTGGCAGGAGCGCACAACACGTGTATCGGTTGCTCTGGGACACGGGCCCTGCCGGTTAGCCTTGCATACCCTTTTAGCTATTGGCGAGAGTCCTTGGCGATTGTTGGAGTCGTTGCCTCGGTGCCTCGCTGTCTATATTGGAATTTTGGGCGCGACTCGGTGCATTGGCTTGATGTTACGGGTGCGTCCTTGTCCATTGTCGTGCCTGACTTTACTGCTGCCCCACCTCAATGGCAGCGACTTCTGGGAGGTAATGCAAGTAGCCTTACATGGCAGCTGCCATCGCGCTGGGCTTGCTTTGCTCTTGGTGCGAGCCTTGCTGTGCTCCCGGTTTTTAATACAATCCCTTTCACACGATCGCTTGCGGATGGCTCACTTGGTCGCATGATTGAGCAACAGGCATGTTCTGTTGGCGTGATGTTGATGCTTGCGGCCTCGGCTGGTCTCCTCTCGTTGCTATTGCGGCGAATGCGTGTGAGGATTGCTTGGCGTACACAGCACAGGCTACTGCGTGTTGGCGATGGATTGGCACTTTGTGCTTGCAGCATCGGGCGCATCTCTTCAACATCTACTGGGCCATTGGGCTGGTCTGTGTTCCCAGACAAAAAGCGATGCAAACGAGCTGCTTCTGGTTGTCGTGCAGATGTGTGCTCGCCTTTGCCTCTCCTTCCGCGCATGTTCTGGCAGGTTGTGGCATTCTTCATGGGATTTGCCTCTTTGCCTGTGCGGTGCTGCGTTGATGGGCCTTTGCACCTTGCGATTCCCGTGATATTGTCGATTCCTTCGGCAAATTGCGTCAGCACACCGGTTGTCGCGCTGACACCGACGCGCCAGCCGCATGAGATCCCTGTTGAGGAGTTAGCCGATGTCGTCGGGGAGACACTGGAGCGACCTCGGCAAGCTTTCTCTCTAGGGGCCATCGACTCAGACCAGAGATGGGTGGTTGCTGCACAAGGCCCGCTTCCTGATGGGCGGGATATTGCGCCCGGACATTGGCTGGGTGTCATTGTGATGACACCTCACTTTCGGGATGTTTGTGTGGCCGTTCGATGCAGACATTTTCATACCTACCAACATGTCGTCGACATTGTGCTGGATTCTGTGCCTGGTGGGCCTCGGGACGTTGGTCTGACTTGTGTGCCTACGAGGCCCCAGTTTTGTGAAGGATATGCCACTTTTGTCAGGTTTCCCACCTCCGTGCACCACCACCCTCAAGGACGCAGAGTAGCTGTGCTTGTTGACCTCACTTCGGTTGGAGGCAACCGCTTTGCATGCGCGTTACCACAGCACTTCACCATGAGTGAGCTGCTCGCATTCGTCACACCTTTGGCGTCCGCCTCTGACTCACCTTTACGACTGTACGTCGCTGAGGAAACGTCACCGTGCACTAGGGAGTCTCTCCTGCTGCAAGACGGGTACGTGTTGGCCTTCTTTGAGCAGAGGCCTCCCTTGCACAGATGTGTTCTTTCTGTCGCGGAGCTGATGTCAGAACCTTCGCGTTGGTGCCCGCCCGAGCAGTTGCTGCATGTTGTCGACTGCGAAGGGGTTCTAGTGCATCATGGCCGAGACAGATTTTATATGCCGGCACACCATCATGCTGGCCAAACGGCAGTAGAGGCAGTGCGTACTGCTTACGATTATGCTGATGCTGAAAGTGTCTCTTGTGCCTTTTCGATGCCGGACCTGGATTTTCGGGGCAACGCGGTTTCGCACATTTTGTTTGTTGCGGAAGTGCTACCCACGCCTGCCACGGCCTCTCCAGCAGAGCGCCGGCGCGATCACTTTGCTTTGTGTGACTTTCGCCCAGTGGGATATAGCCCTCGAGTGGTGCACACCAGTGTGCCACTCTTGCATCTACCGTCCTTGGCCGCAGCCTTTGGCATCCGAGTGCCTGTGGGTATGCGGTTGTACACCTTCGACGGCAAGTGCGAGGAGGATGAGGTCCGGTTTGAGGGCAATCCGGTCCTGTCCTTCGTTTTTGAAGATTGTCCCGAGGTTGAGCCCGTGGCAGTGTCCTCAGGACTCTTCGTTGACCTTGCGGCCCTCATCACCACGGGCATGCGAGCAGTGATGCCTTACCCCGGAATAGGTCTAGGTCCCGATCTCGGGGTTTGAATAGCGGGTTTAAGACCCTTTCCCCTCCCCATGCACTTGCTGACCAAGTGCTGTGGCCGGATCTAACATGGGTCCATGCCAATGACCCTGTTTGGGCGACAAAAGAGGCATACAAGTGGTCCCCTGGGTTTCTGCAAGATGCTCTTCCTGAGAGCACCTGGGAGCTCACCTCTGTTCCTGCTTTGTTTGTCGATGTGTTGGGAAAGCCATGGTCTGCCTCGCTTCTTTCTGCCACAACTTCCCTCGTCCCGTGGAGCCTGAAGCTCCTTTCTGAGCCGGAGTCGCACTCACTTTCTGCCAGAGATCGTATTGAAGATGTGCGCGACTTCGAGGAAGGTGAGGGTCGGATTTGGCCTTACCTGGGCAGCTATGGACGAGGATACTCTGGGTTCCGAAGATGCCTCAGAATTTACGTTCTGCCTCTTAACGCCGGGCTACACTCTGGAGCCAGTTGTGGTGAACCTGTCAGCTCCAGTGGAGATACCAGATGCCTTGCAAGTTGTGCGAGAAGATCGTGAACCTGTGCGTGGCAGGTTGTATCCCGCTCTAGTGGTGGTCGATCCTCAGCCGGCGCAGGGTTTTGGCGTGCTCCTGGCGCTTCCTGCCTGGCCTAGCCCTGAGGTCTTCATTTGCTTCTCGTTGCTTGACATCGATGATCGTCTCTTTGTCGCGTCAGCACCTCTTGTGGCCTCACGTGAGCGGCTACTTGAGTTAGCCGAGTTGGAACCTGCAGAGCTCTATGACGTATATGTCGGAGGCAGCCCAACCCCGATGGTTGAGGCCGAGGAGGTTGATCTGGTCCGAGGTATGTGCATCTTTTGCTATCCCCGGCATGTGCTTCCCGGTCCTTATTTCCATCTGACGGAGTCCTTGTTGTCCTCTGCAGCATGGGAAAGCAATCCCTCCCTCCCGTTTGGGCCCGCTGATGGCTTCATGTGCTTTGTGGGGGAGTTTGCCCAGCGTCGTGTCCCTCTCGAGGAGGATGCATCTTTCCCGGACAATGCTGAGATCGCCGCAGCGCTCGGGTTGCACCCTGAGCGGCTTGTGGTGCAACCTGCCTACCCGGTGACGCAGGATGTCGCGCTCAATGGGTTTTACTGCTATAACGTTTGTGCGGCATTGGACCTTCCTGAGCCTGATGCTGAGGACGGGCCCCCTTGTATTGTTCTCATCGACTGCCGCGCGTTGTTGCAAGGCTGGCAGATGGTCTCGTGTCCCGCTGCGGTGATATCACGGACACAGCTGATTGAGGACCTTTCTACGTTCGCTCCTCCTGGATGGAGTGTGCATCTTGAAGGGATCCCGGCAGCCAGCGGCAACTATGAGGTCTCTCCTGGAAAGGTCCTCTATGCGTCGTATGTCATGGACACGCACCCTTGGCACGAAACGGCGACAGCAGAGGTCGCCAGCGAGGAGGCAGAGGAAGAAGGATCGTCTGGTAGTTCCGAACCCTCCTTCTCTCCGGCGTCCAGCCCTGTACCTTACGCTGAGGAGCGCAGTCGCAGCCGATCACCATATCGCGACTTCGGACAGGGGCACACGTCCTCAGACACTCGGGCTGAAGGGGTTCCTTTCTTACTGCTGGGACAGGAATACGCCCCTGAAATGGTGATTGTTTCGCAGGATAGCACCGAGCTGTCTGCCGTGCTTCGGTCAGTGCAGAGCCGACGTGATGCGACTTGTCGTCGACGTTTCGCGCAGCTTGTTCCTGTCCATCCCCAGCCTGCTGAGTCTTATGCCCTGGCCATTGTCAAACCCGTTTGGAGCCGCGAGGTTTATGTGGTTTTTGATTGCCTCCGGGTCAATGGATCTGTGTTCTGTTGGCTCGCCTCCGCTGCTATGACCAGATCAGCGATTCTTGCTGTTGCTGGGATCCCTGACACTTCGGAACACGAAGTCTATGTCCCGGACCAGGACCTTCCGCTCGGAGCACAGGATGTGTGTCGTCTCAACACGGGCGCTTGTGTATCTATAGTGCCTGTGTCCTGTCCCTGGTTTGTTGTCGCCTCATTGCAAGATATGTTGCTTGACAGCACCAGCTGGAGTACTGCGGCCGCGCTCCCGTGCGTCCCTGGGGATTGGTTGTATGTCTTGTCTGACACAGGGCCGTGCTGCCTGCAAATACCTGAGGCGAGGCCCGACGAGCTTTTCTCCACGGTAGCCGATGCCCTCGGAGTACCGCTCAGTAGGGCTACCTTCCAGCTTGCGTTTCCGCCAGTGGACGATTTTTCGGACGAAGGTCGCATAGCGTGGAATATCGCTGTGCTGACTAGCACGCCGTCAGCCCCTATCGGGAGGGAAGGTTGCGTGTACTTTCTCGATTTGCGTGCCCTCATGTGTGGCCTTACATGGGCTTTTACCCCAGAGTGCGCGAGACCCACCGCGGGGGGACATTTGGTCGAGGTTCTAGGTGGTCGCCCCGTTGACACAGACTCGCCTGACGAGATACATGTCTGGCCAGGCGAGGTGCTGGTAGTTCAGGTTCTTGACGCCGGGGCGGCTCCCTCTCCCGCCTTTGCACTTCCGAGCGAGGCTCCCGGCCCTGGAGATGCGCATGATGACAATGAGGATGGGGCCTCGGGCAACTCGGCCCCTTCCAGAGGGATTTCTGTCCGTGCGGGCTCTGCTGGATCAAGTGCCCATGCCGGCGAAGGCCCTCTTCATGGCGGGCGAATGGCATGCCTAACAGGATTTCTTTTGCAGGCTGGCGTCGGACGAGCGTGCATGCTGAGTTGTGTAGTCGGTCTTCTCCTCACTAGTGCTTTGACTGTTGTGGGAGAGGTCCTTCTCAGCCGGGAGACTGCTTTGATGCTTTGTCTTCTGCGATGTCGCCGGCATCGGCAGATGGTCGTGATGGCGGTGCTGTGTGCATCTTGTATGCCCTTGGTGGCATCCATGCAATCCCGCCCCGTTTGTGGAGCATTGTGGCATGCCGATGCGAGTTCTGGTCCGCCACCTCTGAGTGGAGCTCTTCCCTCGCGGGCCATTGCCACGCCATGTCGAGCTGGGGTTGGGCGGCCCCCTGATGATGTGTGTGTTCATGCGCACAATTGGGCACACGGGACGCCTGCACATCCCCTGCAGACCCTCTTAGAGGAAAGGATCCTGAATCGGCGTTCTTCAACGCAGCAACACTGCTAGAGACTCTCTCTGAGCATTTTTCCAGCGATGTCGGCTCTCCTTTCGTTGGGTGCAATGGTCGCCCTGCAAACGGCGACGCCGGCATTCCCCACTTCTTCTTTGATGAAGCTCTGGAGGAGCCCCCTTGCGAGCTGGTGCTGTCCTCCTTGCTTGATTTTGGCAGCGATGCTGATGTTTCTGTTCAGGCCTCCAATGCGGAATGGTACTCCTTGGATTGCGGCAGCTGTCTTATGCCCATCTCGGATCCTCACTGGCAGGATTTACACCGCTTTGTGTCGATTGACCGCCTCCTTTTCGGCATTGAGGGCCTGCCTCGTCCACAACGCTTCGCTCAGTGGGTTGCAATGCATGAGCCAAAGGCCTTTCTTAGTGATGCGACTGAGATTTGCCTTACTTCGGATGGATCTTTTTCAGATCGACATGGCGCTGCCGGATGGGGAGTTGTACTGTCGGTGCTATCGCCCGCATTTCCTGTCGTGCCTGGCTCATATGTGGGGTACATTGCGGGCAACTCCATTGATCTGTGGGCGTTTGGTGACCAATCCCAGACGATCAATGCCTTTGGTTCTGAGATTGTGGGACTCTTCTGGGCTGCTGTTGCCGCTTTTCAGCTCCCTTTCTCTGGTCGGGTGATTTTCCGATGCGATAATCAAGCGGCGCTAGGCATTGCGGCAGGTAGTCACACTGCACCGTGCCATCCCGTCGTTGTAGCCTGCCAGAACTTGCATCTTGCATTCTCTCTGCGCTTTCCTGGCCGTGCCAGCTACTTGCACGTACGGGGTCATGCTGGAGACCCGTCTAATGAGCTGGCCGACGCCGCGGCCAACTGGGTCTGGGGGATCCGCTCCACGTGTTGTGCAACTGGATCTGCCTCTCTGGTTTGCCAATGATGGTGCTGCCTTTCTGTGGCTTCCTCATCTCTGTTGGAGCTGGGCTCGCCCTCAACAAGGACCCCAATCCGCCTCCGGCGTGCTTCGATGGGAGCTAGCTGAGCCAGTCTCGGCTTTGGATGCTGAACAGGTCATGCGGCCCTTTACTCGTGCATTCCCGGTGCCTCAGCCCGGATCGCGGCCTTCGCAAAGGCTCTGTGTGGCTTTTGCTTCTTATAATACCCTGTCTCTTGCGTGCCCAGGTGAGGACATGGGTGTACAATCTGGCATGTATGGTCATGTTGGTCGCGTCGCTTTGCTTGATGCCAGTCTCAAGGCTGAGGGGGTTTTCGTGGCAGGACTGCAGGAGACCCGGACCCCGGAGGGACAGCTGGCTTCTAAGAATTATCATCGGTATTGTGCTGGCTGTCTGGACAAGAAAGTGTACGGCATTGAGATTTGGGTTGGCACTTTTGCCGGTTGCCCTGCTCATAAAGCGGTCGTGCTCCATTCGTCCCCTACACGTATGTTGTTGAGACTGTCTTTCGCTGGACAACACTTGGGGATTTTTGCCGGGCACGGGCCCCATCGAGGCCACCCGACTGCCTTTCGGTTGGCCTGGTGGAAAGCGACAGCCGATTTGTGTATGGCTTTCAGTTCTGCCCTGGATTGGGTCTTTCTGGTGGATGCCAATTGTTCCCTCGGCTCTACGGTGTCTCGAAGTGTTGGAGCACACCTCGCGGAGGAAGAAGACGAGGCTGGTGAAGCTTTCCACAGCCTGTTGCACTCCTGCGGTACTTGGGTGCCGAGTACCTTTTCTGATTCATTTTCAGGAGATGGCGGGACTTTGGTGCAAAAACGGTCTAGCACACTAGCTCGGAGAGACTTCGTCGCACTGCCTTTGGCATGGCGGGACTGTGTTTCACGAGGGTATGTCTCTCCAGCTGTGAATGCGGGCCATTCCGTTCCCGACCGTTTTGCAATCGTAATCCATGTTGAGCTCGACGTCGGTGGTAGGCCTGCTACCCGACCGAGCCCCAGGATTGATGGGGAGGCCTTACTGCTGCCTCAGAACTCGGCTGCCGTGGAGGCCGTCCTTTCTGCGCTCCCTGTTGTTCCCTGGGACACGAACGTCAATGACCACATCTCGGTCCTGACCGATGCACTTTATCGAGGGTTGGCCAACAGGTTCCCCAGGCAACGCAGGCGCATGCGGCAGGGATTTCTCTCTGAGGAGACCTCCCGGCCTCCCGTGTCCATGAGGAACTTGCCCGGAGCCGGCATGCGCTCCGATGGCGCATGGCCGAAATGCGACGCTGTTTTCTGCGATGTGCCCTTGTTGCCTGGAAGGGTGCAAAGGGGTTCTTTGAGGTTTTTCAGGGCCCTTGGATTCGACATCTTCGGTTTGCGATCGCCAAATTGACATCTCTCGTTGGTGTGCAGGGCAAGCAAATCCGTCGACTCTGCCGGAGGGATCGAGCCGCTCACTTGAACAAATTGGCTGCAGAGGTGGACGATGCAGACGCGTCCTCGGTGCATATTGCCCTCCGTCGCCTCCTGCGACCCAAGAAATTTAGGCGTGCGGGTTCCGACCCGCTCCCTCGCTTGCGCAAACCGGATGGCAGTCTCTGCCAAACACCTGAAGAAGTTGATGCCGAGTGGAGACGCCATTTTTCTGAGCTTGAAGGAGGGGAGGAGATGTGCCTTGAGCGTTTCGTCAAGGAAGGACTGGCTCGGCAACAGTCGGTTGAGGGATTTACGGCGCTCAGTTGTGACTCCCTCCCAGCTTTCGCCTCCGTTGTCGGTGCATTTCAAAGGGTTAAGGCCCATAAGGCACCGGGCCCAGATTTGCTGCCCTCGAGTATCTGTAGGCGCTTCGCCTTCAGACTGTCCGAGCATTTTTGGCCGGTGGTTTTGAAAACCTTCCTACATCTCTCGGAGCCCCTCCCCCTCAAAGGGGGGGTGCTCCATCACATACCCAAGCCCAACCCCCCTGTGCGAGATGTGGCAGCCGCACAGAGAGGGATTTTGGTTCAATCTATCTTCAGCAAGGTGCTCCACCGTGTGTGTCGGCCGCTTCCTTCAGGTCTGATGGAATCCCGTGCGCCAGCCCTGCAAGTTGGAGGTCGCCCCGGCCGTACGTACATGTTCGGTTCCTTTGTGTCCAGATGCTTTCTCTGCTTCGCGAGATTGCATAGTGTGTCGGCCGCCATTGTATTCACCGACCTCGTTGCGGCGTATTATTCGGTGGTACGTGAGGCCGTCACGGGCCTGGCACCGGATGCCTCTGTGCAAGACGTTGCCGCATCGCTTCGGTTGACTGATGGCGACTTGCAAGAACTTGAGGCTCACGCTAGGGAACATCCTGTGCTTTCAGGCCCGGATTCGCCAGCTTTTCTCCGGGCTCTTACCGAAGAGCTGCATTCCGACACGTGGTTCCACTTGAATGGTGACCCAAGCTTGGTTCGCGCAGCGAGAGGGACCCGCCCAGGGGGCTGCCTAGCTGACACAGTGTTCAGCCTTCTTTTTCAGAAGGTGCTGGCTAGGCGCGTGCCAGCATCTGATTGTCAGGTCCCGCGCGTCCGGTGGAGTGGGGTACGTGAGCTTCGCCTTTTCCAGGAGAGCCAGGCATCTCATCCCTCCACGGTCCGCGTCGAGGATATCACATACGCGGACGACCATGCGTCCTGTGTTGTTGCGCCCTCGGCTTTGCAGCTGGAACAGGCGGTGCGCAACACCGCGGGCCGCACGCTGGACTCCGTTGCCGGCCATGGCTTGGCTGCGAATTTGGGGCCGCGCAAGACAGCGGCGCTGATGCTTCATCGTGGGGCAGGCTCAAAGGCTGCGAGGGCTCGTACCTTTGGACAGCTGAAGGGCAAGCTACTTGTTCTTCGTGAACATAGCAAGCCTGTTACCCTGGACGCTGTTCCGCAGTACCGACATCTTGGTACACTTCTGACGCATACCGGTTCTCTTCTCCCGGAGGTGCGGTCACGCCTTGCTTTGGCGCGTGTCACGCTTGGTGAAGGTCGCCGTAAGGTGTTTTGTTGCGCGCAGGTCCTGCTTGAGCGTCGGGTCACGCTTTTTCAGGCTCATGTCATGTCGGCTTTTCTGGCGGGATCAGGGGCTTGGCCGCAGCTTGGCCACGAGGCATGGCATACTTTCGAGCATGGGATCACTGCCATGTACCGCCAGCTCCTGAGGATTCGGCCGTGTGATAATCAACGCTGGTCCCGGGATGCCATCTTCAATGCGTGCAATGCTCCTACCCCAGAGGACTCTCTTGCTGCGGAAAGGCTGAGGTTTTTGGGACAGCTTGCGCGCGGTGGACCGGACGAAGCATGGGCATTGTTACAGCACAGCCCAGATGTGATCGCCGGCTTCACTGGAGCACTCCAATGGTTGTCAGATGCAGTGTACGCGACTTGTGAACTTCCCGCTTTTGATGCTCACTGTTCCGCCTGGCTTGATTTCGCACGTGATCGGGCGAAGCGCTGGAAGGGGCTCATCAAGCGTGGATTGCAATGGCATCGTGGTTCTAGGCGCTCTCGGGTTGCCTTTGTTTCCTTTTGCCGGGAAATTTGGACGCCTCTAGCCCAGGCTGGCGATCTGTTGGATGCGCAGACTCATGCATGTCTTGTTTGTAGTCGTGCTTTTTCCTGCAGTCAGAGCTGGGCCTCCCATGCCGCGCTCAAACACGGATACCGCAATAAGGCGATGCGGCTCGCGAGGGGATGCCGGTGCCAAGCGTGCGGCACTGTTTTCGCTTGTGCTCGGCGTATGCGGCAACATCTGGGTCTCTCGCCGCGATGCCTTCAGTCGGTTGAACGTGCGGATGCCTCGCTGTTGCCTGTTTTGGAGTTGGCTGATGGCCACGTGCAGTCCCGTGCGCAGCATGGACGCGGTCTAAGCCACCTCCCCGTCGCTGAGGAGGATGTTTGCTGGGAACTTTTGCGTGAGCTCCGTTCTCGACAACTCTGCGAGGATACGGAGATTATGGAGTTAGTTAAGGCATATGTCGAGCCTTTTCCAACTCTTCGGAACTCCCTGCAGCGATGGGCGTCCGAACTCCGTCCTTCCCCTCAGCTGGATGCAGTGTCGGACTTGCTGCTGTGCTTCACTCCCTTTTGGCTGTGTGAGGAAGCAGTTGCGAGACGAGGGTCTTGCGAGGACAATGTCTTTCGCCCTGATGTGCGCCCTTTACCTTGGTGCCCTCGACCAGCTGGACTTGCTGGCCTCCTCATGGATTTTCCTGAGTCGCAGGCCCTTGTCCACAGGTGTGCTTCCTGGAGGCGGTTGGCGTCGCTTTCCTTTCGATCGCCCACCGCATTCCTCGCTGGACTTTGCCTGCGTTGCCGTTCGTTTCCCTTCTTCTCCGCTACCATGCCTCTCCTTTTGGAAAACTGATTCATGCACGCTTCGTTCCCAACGGCTGCATCACATTTGGTTGTGTCGCTGCCTCGATTGGCTTCGGGTGGCTTTTCGGATGGCCTCTTCCGGTCGCCGTTGCATCCTGCATTTCCCGTTTTCCGAGGACATCGCTGGCGAATTGGGCGAATGGCTCCGCAGCTGTACCAAGGTCGCGCATGGCACCTGTGCTCTCACGTTTCGTTTCACCTGAATTCGTTGCTTGCTCTAGGTGCGTTGGTGCGTTCGTACCGGACACTTCACCTTGCAGAAA